CATATTATAGGTCAAATGAGGGAATTCATAATTTGTAGAACCAATTTTGCCTAATTTATATTATTACAGTGAGTGAGAGAAATATGTAGGGTTTACACAATTTTAGGCAGAAAACCTTCATGAAAGAGACCATTTGAGAGAAGTAGATGCAGATGGGTAACTAATATTAAAGTGAAAAGTAATTTAAAAAAGTAAGAGATTTTGAACTGTAGAGAACTGACTCAAGAGTCCAGCGATGGGATCTTGTGAACACAGTTGTGAATCCCTAGATTCCATAAAAGACCAGATGAGTGACTATCAGTTTCCCAAGAAGAACTCTAATCCATTCAGATATAAGAAAATAATTGGGTTATGTATGTATGTACGTACTGTAATACTGCCCTTCAAGAAGTACGGGAAAATCTTGTTTAAAAAACATTTCTAATGAAAAATGTAACAAAGCAGCATATAAAAATTAAAATCATTGCCTATCTTTGCTTAATTACGAGATAGTAGGCCTACCTTTAAGTAAGCCACGACTGATCCTCCACAATTTTTTTTTTAATTTTACTGAACGCGATCTTTGGGTTGTAAATAAAAATAACTTTAGGTGACACAGCTTTGTTAAATACCAAACAAACCAAACTTCCCGTAACTGAGCTAATTTAATGAAATGTTTTGAGAAAGCTTAAGCTATAGTTAGATTGTGTTCTCCTCCTAGAAGGTACTATCTGCTCCTATGATTAGATGTCGTGATAACATTAGTAGTTGGCAGTACCGAAACGTAGATTGCTTGGAAATGGAAACAACGTCGATTCCATTTCTCGCGTGTACATAATAGGACACACAGACATTTGCCTCCCTGAACTGTGCCTTTTTCAGCACAGACGCTACATGCAACAGTGAATCAACACCAACGATGTTAGGTTCGGTTGCTTGTCGCCGTATTTTCACCGCGGACGAAAGGTTTCGGTCTCAGTGCACACCAGAAGCAACCTGCGGTGAACAGAGTGCTGATGCGTCAGGCAGCCAACAGCTACAAGTACGAACCCACAATCCCCCACATCCATCACCGAGGGTCTGTGAATGGGCCCATTTGAGACAGCGATACCAAGGAGTCGCTGGTAAAGGATTTGACAAACTGCTACACAGGCAGGCATAGGCTTAATGCCTACATATAGTAGCCGTCATAATACATACATGCAGTCATAGACGGTTAATTTCAAAATCTTCTGTCTTTCCGTCCTTTATGTAAGAAGTTAAAGATTAATACACGCAGAAGTAAGCCAAAATTTTACAAGCTCTTCTATAGGCCAAGACCGAATAAGTATCAAAGTTCCTCTGTCTCCTTCAGGAGAGAACGCTGATTGTATATCAGAATAGAAGACTAAGGAGAAAATTTGGTTGTGACAGGAAACTGCATGATAAAGAGCGTCATAATTTATAGCCTTTCACCACATGGCCCATTGTAATAGTGATTTTTAAAAGGGGGGGTAAGATTGGTGAGGCATGAAGCATGACAGACATGACAAAAGCACACAAAAGTTTAGTAGGAAGAGAACCCACGTACGATACGTAGATGATGATGATGATAATGATGATAAGTTTGTTCTAAATAAATAGATAATCTAGTTCTTGTGAACCTTCAGGTAGCGTAAAAACGAGTAATTTATCGGTCAGCTGACCGACTAGTAACTTTTCATGAGTGACTCAATTTCAGTGATTTAATTAGTAAACGGGGTGACCGAAAATGCCTAGAATTTTTTTTCGGATAACGATTGCGTCTTCATGCTATTCAAATTATTGCTTAATCCCACTTCTTCTGCCACAAAAAAAATGTACCCCGCGTGAAGGAGAACATAGGCCGCTCTTGTCCCCGACAGCACGTGCCATCTTTAATAATACCTCTCGTTCCTGCTATTATTATATCAACTATGCACACAGCACTGGCAGCTTCCGCTTTTCTATCGCTAGATGGGGCAATTATCGAGTCGTTGAGGGAAATTAAATGGCCACCATTAAGGAAAGCGGTGAATTTCAGTTCTTACCTAAGTATAGAATTGTTGCAGTACAGGGAATCGTGTATATAAACGCTGAGGATGGGACAGCAGTAAGGGAGATTTTATGAGGCTATTTAGGAACCCGGGAAATATAGAGTAGGCCTTTCCAGCTGCTGCTAGCAACAGCAGTGCTGTACTGGCTTCATAACCCAGTGCTTTAATTCAACGAGGAAGTTATGTTTACTCGTGTGTCGATTTCTATAACACATTACAACCTGCGCATGAATGATAGTATTCTGTGTGGATCCACAGAAGTAAAACACATTTCAAGATGACAACAAATAGCAGTACCAAGACTCTGTACACTACAAAAACCTACAACAACAATTTAATGCGAGTCACTCTCAGTTTTCCCGATGGCGTTCACTGTGTTTCGAAGCTTTGATCAATATATTAGAAGACTCTTTATGATGCTAGTGAGATTTGAGGTTCTGTCTACTGGGTTGTTTTTCCCGGTAAGCCTTCTCTGATAGAAGTTTACAAACGTTTCTGAGACAGTTACCACCTCTGAAAAGCAGGAAATCCTCTACCAGACTACATCTTCGGACTCACCGCCGTCAAAATCGCAAATCCTACTAAGCCTACGACAGTTTATACATTATTACTTTCTCACACACATAATAGGTCTTTATAAATGCAGAGATATCGACAAAATGCTAGTTTTGGAGTCTTGAAAGCAAGTAGACTATTAGGACTAAATATTTTATTCTGTATCTCCAATTGGGTAGAAGGTAATAGGCATAATATGGCATCCTCTAGATCCGGTTTACTAAGCAATAAAATTTTGTAACATTGAGCCTGAGTTAACTATTACACCCACAGACGTAATATGTTAGCAGGTTTAGAGACCTGTGGATAACTTAAAGTAGTTATTATATTCAGACACACGTTCGAAAATTCTTCACATTTTGGCGACGAACTCTACCCACGGTAATACAGAAAGCCCCATCCTTGCACAGTGCAGCACTGGGACACACTGTCGCAAAGCAACGACTAATATAAGCTGATACAAGTCTTCGCACTAGATAACAGCATTTTAGTATGCTATTTAGTAATCCTGAATGCGTATGAGTTATAATAGGGTTTAAATTTTATTTATTGTAATAATGGCTGCCAGAATGGTTGAAGAACTGATGGAAGTGAATTCAGAAGCCCCTGATGCAAACTTATCATTGCTGTGGGGCAAGAATGGGTGTGGTTGCAGGTAGGGTCTCGATCCATAGAAGAAGAAGAAGAAGAAGTAACACGACGGTTTAATAAATGGCATTCAAGAATTAATCTATTCTTTTGTTGACCATAATTTTTTTCAGGTGATTAGGCCTATTTCATTTTGGTTACGAACTGTGGAACTACATAGTTCCTTTCGGCTTCACTGGCAGCACTAGGATTACGTTTCCGCCATTGCAGACTAGTAAAACATAGAGAACAAATACAAACGTCAAACATAACATCAGAAATATACTAACCAGTGTTCTGATACAGTCATCTTTTATCATTTACCAAAAAAACGGCGGTTTAACCATAATTTTGTGGTCCATGGAAAGGACACCTCTGTCTCATTTTAGAGACCTATTTGAACCACGTTTCGCAGCTTCCTTGAACATCAAAAGCTTATTGTTTCCAATGACAAAATAATGTCTAAAGAAGACCGGAAGGTTCTCTGCTGTTTCGTATTTCGTCAATGGGCCAGTTCAATGGATTATGGTCTTCCAGACTCCCATATATTAACCTAGAATTGATGGTGGATGCCAACGTTTCGGAGGAAAACTTCGCTTTCATCTTCAGGGTAGCCTTCTAAAATGACGATGGCGGAACTTGAATACTAAGACCTTATCATAGCCTACGGGCTAATGAAACAAATTTAGATAAGTAAACAAATTTTGAGAGATTAAAATTGATTATCGATGAAATACTAACAGATTTTAGTAACACGATTCGTTCAAACCAGAACGACGAGAATGGTGAAATTACACTTGGGAATTCCTACAGTAGCCCCACTTTGAATAGGAGGTAAAAAATCCCCTTTGATCAGGTATAAAACAGAGGCCTGCGCGAAAGAGAGCACCACAGAAATATAAAAGCACGGGCTCAGCAACAGTTCAAGACGTCACGCCTGTAAGAAGACACGGAATGACTATTTAAACAGAATGATGAAGACAAGACAGAATTATAGGTAGGCCCACATACGCCTACTATCTAGTTACTATTTCAAGTTTGTACCATTCCGACATTTTCTTGGAAGACATGAGCGTCGTCCCTCAGCCAAGATACGAACCTGCGCGTTCTTCTGAGGTGAGTTCTCAGTTTCTCACTGCTCCGATTGTGAAGTCTTTCGCGTTGTCGCGCCGTGCAGTCTGGTAGAACTTTACGGACATTCAGACCAGACTACACGGCGCAGCAACCCAGAAGTTGTGTTACCGCATCATCGTGGCGTCGTCACAAGTAATTGCAAGGAAAACAGCCGAAATTCGTTCAGCTGGATTCCAGATGGTCATTCAGTCGAACTCATTTCTGTTAGCACTGAAGATGGTAATGAAAAATTAGCAGAACCGACAAAACATTCACCGATGAACGCATGTCACCGCTACTGAAGTCATACAAAGGTCTGTAGTTGATGAATTTCGCCAATGTTTTTCGTTACAGCTGTTAATCCCATTACGCTGTGATTTTTGTTCATGATTGAGGCAACCTCTTCGCTGTAACAAATTACGCTCTTTGAAAGGTTTTACCTGTTAATTTATTTATCTCAGTGAGGAGCATCTGTTGTGGTTTCTTTGGGTTGGTTCATCGTGTACGTGCGGTCCCGCCCATTGAAGGCGTGGCCTATGTGGTATTGGATTGGTTAATGAAAGTTGCGGTAGTGGGGATACGATGACAGTGAATGACTTGGGGGCGTGGCACTGCTGAGAAGCTATGTGAGGACCAGATACCCTATACTTGTCACTCGAAGCCATATGTGAATGTGGGTGAGACGTACCACCAACGTCTTTTGTTACATCCTCCTTTTTTCTGTTGCTTCGAAAGCAGTTTCAACTTTTTTGTTTGCTTGTTTGTTTTCTCTCTCTCTTTCGATGTGATATCTGACACAGGAATTGTTTGAGTGAACCCAGACAGAAAAGGTGATACAAAAAACAGAATGCGATGTGCAATAAATAAAAGTGTCGTGTATTTTTGTTATATGTGCATCAGAGTGAGTGAGGTTAGGCGATCTTAATGTCTTACACGAGGTCCATTTGTTATATACACAACACTCGGTTTCTGTCACAGTGACTGAAATATTAAACTAGTATTTTTACGATCCATTTTCCCAGTGAAATTTTATTAGAAAATGTGTTAAAGTGAAATTCACCTAGACTTAGCTGCGTACGTAAGTAGGGATAAAAATATTCTTATTAATGGATATGTTAAGTAATATAATGACTAGAAACATATCTTGCATGCGTAAGGTGTCTGTTCCGTCAACGATGAAATAAGATACTACGGTAGCGTGTTTATTTTTATCAACAAATCGTCAAGAACATGAAGGCCTACCATATAATTACACCGTAATTTTGTGCCTCGACAGTTCGCGAATGTAGTCTGTTATAATTAAATAATCATGACCCAAGCAATGAGCACAAGAAACTGTGCCCCATCAACGTCTTCACCTTCGGCAGGAACAATGTCAGAGTCGTGCACAAACAACAGGGCATTGGTAACCCCAGTTTTCCTAAAGCATAAGATTTCGTTCAGTGTAGATTCCTTATTGTCATCCTGCACCAATACGAATAGAAACTTCCAAACAAGACAACTTTTAGAAGGTGAAACCGAAGGTTTGATTTTAAATAATAAACCTTTGTTAAAAAGTGACCAAAGTACTTTAACGCAACCCTTGTCTCCTGTGGTGGGTTCTCTTACCTCGCAAGCAGATCTTGTGGACGCTTCTACAAACGGCAATGTTACCAAACAATGTGACGCTGAGTGTAACGACGACTTGGAAGACGAGGAACTCGACGTTGATGATGAGGAATGCGACGTAGGAAGAAGAAAGCGTTCGTACGATAATCAGCTGCAGTATTTCGACACTAGAATCAACGACGACTCCAGTGGCACTCGGACATCTCAGAGTCCTTCAGCTGATAGGGACGCGGAAGACGGATCTCCACCGGTTATGCTGAAACCATTCCCGCACCCCGGAGTAGCGCTGGGAGGCCTCCACCAGCCAGCAGGAGTTACCGGACCACCTTGCTGGGGCTTCCCCCCTGGGCTCGCCTCGCAGTTGGCGTGGATGCCGGTCTACAGACCCTCATCGCCCGTCAGTGAGTACCATCAAACAAGTTAAGTACGGGCTCTGACAACCAAATAACCGGACTGATTCTACGAAGTAAATATAGCCTGTTGCCACTAAACTTGATGGCTGGGGACACCCACCCTCCATCTTCATTAAAAAGCTGTCATGTCTGAAAATTATGTCGGAATTAACGTGTCTGAACTACTACTATTTTATTATACGTGGTTTAAAGTTACTTAATGACTTTAACAGTAGCGCAGACTGTATGCCTGTATAACGTCGAATGATATGTTAATTAAGGAACAGAAAATTGAAAGGATATGGAAGAAGGCGTATCAGTAGGACACTGTTATTATATTGATCTGAATGTCATTAAGTAATTCAAAATTAGATTCTTTAAGAGAGACTTTAATTTCGGGACAGCGGTCGATTCAAACTTGTGGCGCATTCTCCAGCATTCTAACACTGGCGGGCCTATTTGTTCCTTGATCAAGGAATGCCTTGCAGAAAATGCCATGTAGGAATGATTGTTGTGTTGATGCAAAATTCACGTGACCGGTCAAAGAGTTTATCTTCATGGACAAACTCGCTGTCGTTCCATAACTTGGAAGTGGAGTTCTTGAGTAATCGTTGGAATAAGTATTCGTAATGGTTTACTCTTTTCATACCGAAAAAGGAAATTACGATTTTCGCCTTACCTTTAATATTTGTGGTTCTTTCTGTTTCGGAAAATCCAGGATTTTCAACTTTTGAGATTTGAGTTTCAACGGCTGTGAAAATGCCGATGTTCTTTTTCTGGGTAATAATTTTTTGTGGACTTGTACTCAGTATGTTCGTCCAAAAATATGGTATCTAAAATACCTATAAGTCCGCTTGGCCTTTCTAAGCAGATCAAAATCGACGTCTAGAGTATTTGGCCTTTTGAATCTGGATCGTACTGTAAAACCCGGGCCTTATTTAACATATCAGTAGCATTTTCAAAGAAGTCGGATTCTTCTAGCACTCTAGCTGAAAATTTGAACAAATATATTTCCTCCGTTTTATGAGAAATAGGCCTAAATGAATTAGGCAAAAATCCAACTAACACCCTATGACAGCAAGTAAACAATCCAAACGGCAGAGAGTGCATCTATGAAATCTCTGGTCTTATGATTCAAACACAACACACCAATAAGTCATTGTGTTTTGCTCACAAAAATGGATCAACCCGGTTACTTAATTGTCAGACCTCATTCGTTCGTCCGTTGTATGAAGGCCGTTTAATCACAGCTCTGTGGAAGCTAAATGACAATCGGACAATTAGGATCGTGAATGACGGAGGTAAATTTTAAATTTATCCTGCGATAAATTTATCACCACGCCACGAAGACGTAGGGAGAGTGGGCGTATGGCTCTATGCATTCTTAATCTCAGCGCTGACTGGAGAAGAGTGGCCAGCTTCGTGTCTCGAGTAATGGGACCATTTTCAGTTCTGTCTCCCGTGTCACTCATTAGCACCCAGTGTTCCTTGAATTTTGATTCACAAATCAATGAAAGAATGCAATGGAAAGACCGAAGCGTTTGTAAATTTTTTTACAAATTATACTTCTTTGACAGCCATACTACGAGCGCAGTCAGTAGCAGAAACTGTTTTAAAAATATCCCTTTGAAAACATCAAAACACCTTCACTTCATCGCTACAAAATATCCAGATTGGTCATTGATTCACGGAGTCCCTCAGGTAAATCGTTATTCTTAGGATTTCAGGTTTTCAGGGCGGCAATTATGAAGACGCCGGTCTTCTGGGTTGTAGCGCCATGCAGTCTTGTAGAAGTTTACAGACGTTTCAGAGGTACTTGCTACTTCCATTATCAGGGCGATATATCAGATTGTATGTCGCTACAAACCAGAACACAACCAAATTCGTTGTCTTTTTCACAAACCGAAATATGATACTTAAACAAGCTGAAGATCGCCGTACTTTCAATGAAACAAACGGAAAAGTAAGTAAAATAATTTAAAACACTTTTCGTTACTCCTGGATACGTTTTTCGTTTTGATTAGGTTTGCTACACTTCCCTGCTCGCACAGTGCTATGCAGATATTTGACAGACGTGACTTACAAAATCGTATTCTTATTTTGGAAGCCTTGAAAATGTTTTGGCGCACATGCTTCAGAAATTCACCATCAAATAGTTCATCACGTCTATTAGTACTTTTATCGACCTACGAACTGCTGCATTCAAACAATTTACACTGAATTTATAGTTTCATTTGGTTGTTCTCAGAATACGTAACATAATTCCTCTCTGCTCTTCGTCAACGAAACACTATTAGGCCTGTGTGGGTAGTCTAGAGATTCGTAATGCCTCTTAAAGAAGTTCTACATTATCAGAAAACAGAACGCGCCACGCTGTTCCATTTCAGTCAATTAACTTCCACCAAAATGGCCCATTTCCTTCCAAAATTTCTGTTACCGGATTTCACTCATTTTCTTACATTGTATGTGCTTTATTACACCTCCCTCCCAAATTGTGCAGGAAATGAAAGCATATAGGACTCATCATGTCTTCTGTCTGTCTGTCTGTCAACATAATTCAACTTGATAACCGCTAGGAAGAGTTGGATAAAATTTGGTTTGGAATTTATACCATTGGGATCTACCCTAAAATCCTACTTCTCAATTTTCTGCAAGCGGTAATACCAACATGACAGAATAGCAAACTTTTGAGGTGGGATCGACACTAACGCCAATTGAAATAGGACCATACAATGATATATGGTTACAAATTTTCGCAAAACACCAACATTTGATATAGTAATTTCTCGTTTCGACTTAACGTAAAATAACAAGACTGTGGCTGCATGAGTGGAAAAGTGATTCGATTTGACCGGGATTCGGTCCCATGAACTCAAGCCTACGAGTCCAGTTTGCTACTATATTTCTAAGCACCCCGCGAGGCATTCGTATTGATTTACAGCACTTAAAGAAGACACTGAGACCACAGACTTCGTACAGCTGGAAACTAAAGTTTTGCAAGTAAGATAACTGACGCAATCTTTTACCAATAATTGTTATTTAAGAACTTTTTTCAAAAGGGAGCATGCAGAATTCAGAATTTGCAAGGAATTCATGTGTGTATTCCGGTACTTGTCACCACAGAGAACATTTAAATGAACACACAACAAATCACCCACGAGCAAACACAACTTTCTCTTGTCAGGCTCGGAAGATAATAATCGGCTGATGTGCCATCTTCCTTAGGAACATCTGCGACAACTGAAAGCAGACTGGGAGGTCGCGTGGCCATTTATTGTCAGTTTATGACGCAGCTGGTTGATTGTTGCCAAACAAATGATAGCGTTTACGTGTCTGTGCAGCTGTGCATACAGATACACATTCTATTCTCAATCACTGATATTCAAAAAAATTGTATTAGTAATTTTGTTAGACTTACTAGTTGTGATTTTGCACAAAATTTTGAGTGCCCAGGAAATAGCACGCGTGCAAATCGTTCACCATTTATGGCTGGTCCTGCGCCCCCACCCTGATAGACCAAAATTTCACACCCATGTAAATAATAGTTATGGCTATTGTGGTATTTACAGTTTTAAGGATTGAATGGTAGCAAGCATTCCCAGAATTTAAAAATGATGAGTTGATACAAAAGAAAATTAACTCGATAAATTGATGAAGAAATATGTGTTAATGGAACGGTAATCAGCCTAGACCAACATCACAAAAGAGTAAACGATGTGAAATAACGCTTTTTAGTCATACGTTAGACAGAAAATTAAATTATATGAATATGAAGAATTTTTCTTCCTAACACAATATTCTCTCACAAAATCAGTGGCTCAAACTTCTTTTGAGAACTAAGGCATCTACAGTGTTCCTAACTGGAACTCCATCCACATTCTATGTTCCGTAGCAATAAACAAACTGAAAGACCTCAAAGAAAGTAAATACAAAACTCAGTTAATAAATAAAAATAAAGTATACAGCTTCCTCATTTCATGCAAAACTTAATCAGCTTTTTGACGTCACTCCAAGATATGTACAATCTCGATTTTGTTAAGTTAATCAAAATAATAAAACGTTACAATCGCAGGAAAGCGGCACGATGTCACTCAAATTTCAGAAACTTGGCCAACGTGTGGACCGGAAGACGAAATAAATAACTATGGGACTATATCGAACTTCATATTTGAAAATAATGCTACACTCATTAGGCGTCACCACACAGCAGAGAGCGGTATATAGCTACAAAAAATCATCACTGAAACAAAACAAAATGTTCCAAGCCTCTGTAATACTTCCTTCATCTTCCTATCGTTGCTTGTTTCATGAAGAGTAACAGTTTCTGTTTTTATAACTTGTCAATGAGTAATTTCTTCCAGTTCTTAAAGAGGGGATAGCATCATTTCATTGCAAGTTAAAAACTGCTTACGAACAAAAGACAAATGTTCTCATTTATAGATAAATTCATTAAAAACAAACATTGCTAATAAGTTAATTGGAACATAAAACAGCAAAAGAAATTCCACAGACCTGTAATTTGTGACAGTTCTTTCATTAAAATATAATACTTCCTGCGATGTAATTTGCGTAGATTTGGTATTTTTTTCTACTTGTAGAACTGGTTTAGTATAAATACGCCTATTATTACAACACTAATTAGAACAACGACGTAATACAGATAATAGAATAATAACCTTCTACAACAACGAACGTAAATTATCTATTTTATCTCAAAAAAACTCACACGCTCTTCACTGTTCACATGAAGAATCAGACATCTATTATACACTGTCAATTAAATCTGCCTATAATATATGATTGATCTAAACTTACAGATAGGGTCTGATCTACTTTTTAATGGTGCTGGCAATTAACTCGCCTGCTGCCCCATCTGTCGGTACTGTTACTGAATTACGCGGAATGGCACGACTGTTCGAACATGTTTCATTTCCACATCGTTTGTTAGAAATAGTTGAGACATCCATCATGTTTTCCTGCACGTTTCTTCGTGTTATATACAATCCATT